GGTAACTAATTTTTTTACAGGTAGAAAAGGAAAAACATGGATTAGTAAGCAACGAAACAAAAAGTAATAGAAGAAAACAGGGTGGAGTTTGAGAAGTATCTTGTCTACAGGTAGAAAAGCTGGGACTTACTGCTCTCTCAGAAGTTCCAGGAGGACCATCGAGAATCTTGATACGAGCTTTTGATTCTTCAACTGTTTTTTTGATGTACTCTCCCTTGCGTCCAATAATACTACCTACTTTTTGTGAAGGGACCAGCATGCGGAATACACTTTCCCCTGGCCACCCTGGCCACCTTTCGCCACCACCCGCAGTAGTAGCAACATCTTCTTGTTGTAGTTCTTTTTCCTGTTCCTGTTCCTGTTCCTGTTCCTCTTCTTGTTCTTGTTTTGGTTCCTGCTCCTGCTCCTGTTCTTGCTTCACCTCAAGGAGTGAATGTTCTTCTTTCACCTCAAGGAGTGAGTTCTCTGGTACTCCCTCATTCTCGTGTTGATTAAGGCTTTGATCTAGTTCCTCCGCATTCTCTTCTTTGATAAAATTAAGTTCCTCCATATCTCTTTACTGTGAAATAGAGTTGTCAAGGGGCATGTGCACAGGTATATAAACACAAATATCACTTTAAAAAGTACATTAGATAAACAATCTTTTTTCTTGATAAGTTCATTACTTAACGGTTTTAGTTAGCAACCATTGCTACCCAAAAAAGCCCAGAAAGTTAAAAACTAGGAATTCATTTTAAATAGCAACAACTAAACTATGATTCATTTTCAAAATAGAAGAGAATGTAAGGGGAAAAATGGTTCCTCTTCCAGAAAGCTTTATGCTTAAACTGTAAAAGAAATTTCATAAGGTTCACAGGGTGAGAGCAAATAAGGATCGTCAAGAAAAAAGTTCCTCATGATAATTGGAGTGAGACTTTCTTGTCACAGAAACAAATCAAGTTCCTTACATGCCCCATGTTTAACATGACAAACATTAGAACTATTTGGCACATTAGTAGAGAACACTACAAAAGATCAGATCTAGAAAGAGGAGCTATGGAGTTACAACCAAGTCTATTTTGAACTGTACATCATTCATTAACAGTTGGTCTTTCAAGTATATATAATTCACACTCCATGATCAGAGAATCAATGCATGTCCCTTACTCCCTTTCTTGTCTGCCAGAAAATGAAGCCCATTTTCTCACAGTTTATAGCATACTACTTAATGCAAGTATTACATGGGATCCAGTTGCTCACTTCCAATGAAAATTATTCTCTTTTCTAGACCAAGCTTTAAATAATGAAGAAACAACCAGTGACCCCACTTGTTCCCCCACTTAAAATTCAAAAACAAGATACGCCTCACTCAAAATAGTTTACTCTAGGCACTGTTGACAAATGCATCTTCTTTATTTTTATTTTTAATATTTGATCAATATTCTGCACATGCATCTTAAGACTATATAGTTTGGCATAGACATATCGCAAGCTACAATTTTCTTTGATGGAACTACAACACAAAAGGTAAAAAAGCATTGCATATCAGATCAAGACCACAGCTACCATATTGGCTCTATAAAAGCTCTCTTCTTTTGTACTTCTCCTCATCTATAACTCTTAAACATTATCAGTCTGACATAATCTTATCCAAAAACTTACTAGTCTAACCTAATATGAACTATGAAGAATGAAAAGATTAGTGTTACACAAACTTGCTTTATTTACCAGAAAATTTATATTAACAAAACTAGATGCTGATTCTTTCAAATCCATAGCTCATATCATCATAAACAAAGTCAGTCCAGTAAAATTTTTTGATTCAAGTAGTTTTTTCCACCCAAACATGTCCTGAATGAAAATCTACCACTGTCAAAGATCCTTTTTTTTATAAATAAGGTCTCACATATCACTTCTTCTTGATGAGTTATGTCTAAGGGGATAGTTACTAATCAGTGTTACTCTCATGACTCTTACCTGGTTTAATTTTAGCATATAACTCATAAACCCAATTGACCTCGAAAGTTAAACTATAATGAAATCCCACCATGAATCTAGCATGAAGAGATGGGCACCTTGACCCTACTCAAAGGAGATTAACTAATCATTCTTTCTCTTTACTCCATTCTAGGGTCCGTTTACCAAAGAACTCAAAAACCATACAGACTTGGAGCTAAAAATACAGGAAAACCCCATCAGAAAACTAGTACAAAAAGACAAGACACCATAACCCAGTTTTCGCAATACCAAAAATCAAACTGAGCATAACTGACAATTAGAAAACCATGTTTCACAATGCAATAGTTATTAAAATAAGAAACAATTTCAACATTGACACAAAAAACACAGTCAAGGAGACGAAAGAAGCGAGCTCATGCAGAAATTACCAAAACTAAACCGAGCAAAAGTGAGAACTAGAACACTAAAAGCATAAAACAAACTCTAATTCAAAAAGAGAATTATAATCACTGCAACTTTAACAAATTCATGAAATCCCCCCAAGCATTTAAACAATTACCAAAATCATAACGGAGAATTAGAACATTAACACGGAATGGAAGAGCAATTAAAGAAAGAGATAGAGCAAAAATATCTCAAGAAAATAGTGACCCATCAAAAATTAAGCAACAATCTCTTGAATTGACATACCCCGAATAACTGTAAGAATTGGAGCTAAAAATCAACATACCCGCAAACCCTAGAAACCTAATTGTGAATATGTATACATATATAACAGTGTGATGTAGAGTTTCATAAATTTACTTTATTACTTACATGGGTTTCAGTGAGACAGTACTTTAGAGAGGGAACAACAACTGAACAAGAAGTTGATTTGTTGAAGAATAAAAGACTGCTGTTTGGCTTCGACCAAATTTAGGTTTTGGGTGGGGTTTTTTTTTTTCCTCTTGGGTTTTTGGGTAGGTTTATTGTCGTGTTTATGTGTTTTGGGTAGGTATGTTTTTATGTATATATCTTTTGTTTGTTTATTTTGTTCGGTAGGAGGAGAATAAATACTCGTTGGTTTTGCCATTGTTTTTGTTATCTTCTCCACAATTCAATTACTGGACTTTCTCGTCTGAAAAATACTCTCAATATAAATTTTACATAGTTAATATTGTAACATTTGGTTTACAACATTATTTTCTCTTTTACTAATATAATCTTTACATAATAGTACTGTATTTGATTTTGGTAAAAAAACATTTAAAGTTAATATAATATTTAATTTTGATATTAAACTCTTTGTCATGACTAACTAAGATAACATATGTAAAAATTTATATATTATTTTAGGTAAGATAGAGCAATACTTGTATTATAATATTTAAATAAAAATAATGTTAAGTTGTAATCATTGCATATCAAGATCTGCGTTGTCCAACTCATCCCATAACCATTTGTAAACCAAAAAGTGTTAACATTCAAGTTTTGTAAGATCACAGAACAAAAAGTGTAACACTCAACAATAGTTTTTTCTTTTCTTTTAAACTAATGTCAAAAGGGTAAATACATGTAGGATTGGGACAACTATGTCCACCTCCTGGAATACAAAGACAGTGAAGCCATCTACAAATGAGTTGCTCATGCTGCTACATACATCTCTATTTAATCATAACTAGTTATTCTTCTCTTTTTCAACAACAACAACATACCCAGTATAATCCCACATAGTGGGGTCTGGGGAGGGTAGTGTGTACGCATACCTTACCCCTACCTTGTGGAGGTAGAGAGACTATTATTCTCTTTTTTAGAGATATAATTCTGCATACTTGGAGAGAAATAGAAGACTACAGAGCTACTGAAGAAATGTTCTTTCTAATCCTTCTAGTCTAATAAATTTGTTGTTTCAAGTCAATGGAATGCTCTGCCTATACTCCACAAACCAATAAATACAGAAACCATAATCCCAAAGACATATGGCTTTCCAGCAGCACCTGACGATACGGACCTGTGCAAGATGGCACCAATCAGAATTACCATCAACAAAGAAATTCATACAAAAATAGTACTGATCGTTATCACGTCAAATAAACTTTAGCATCTCTAATATAAATCTAGCTGTCATGATTAAAGACGTTACTTTAGGAATCAATATCTAGTGAAACACTTCTGAATCATGTTGATAATTTAGAAGAAGCAAAAAAGGAAACACATTTGGTGTAGATATGGATTAGTTACTTTCATGTGCAGTTAAACATTATGCTAAAGCTAGGAATTGACAGATGTGAACCAGGAAAAAATGATGGATGAAGGAAGCAGCAATGTACATACTGAGTAAAACTATTGGAAGAACAGAAATTTTTATTAATACCGGTAAGCTTAAGCATCTGGCCTGAGTGATGATATTTACCTTGCCACTGTTGACTTAGATGTGTTGAGCCCAAATCCAAAAGGAAACAGTGGATCATAGTGGGGGTCACCGACGTTCATTGGAAGTTGATCTACAGTTTTGAACCATGTTCTTGGAAGCTTTCCAGTAAATCCATAGTCCCCAAAAAGAAGATCAGTGATACCTTGTCCTTCACTACCAGGTAACCAGGCTGCTACAAGTGCATCAATTGACGGTAGATATGGTTCAATCACGAGCGGTCGACCAGATATGATGATTACAACACACTTCACGGACGGGCAAACATGGTTAATGACATCAGGCCCAGGATCTGCTATTGTGAGAGTAGGACTGTCTCCTGCCGTCTCAGCATAAGGATGCTCGCCAACAACCACAATAGCATAGTCAAAGCCACCGGAACTAGCATACTTGCTGTCGGGATTCTCAACATAGGTGACTTCTGTTCCTGCATCTACTGCAGACTTTATTGCACCAAGGATGGTAGTCCCTGTAAATGAAGTTAATTCTGTTCAGCCATCTCTCAACACTAGTCGACTGACAATAGCAAATGGTTATTTGGCATTACCGACATTACTTACTTAGTCTGCTGCAGTTTCCAATAACCACCAAACTTTAGAGTCTATAACATTTTTCCAAATGATTTTTTGCACAATACAATTAAATTATGAGAGCAACTTCTATACTCAGTCTGCATGTCTTTTTCATTGTCATGTTAGGGTGGGGGTGGGGAGCTTATTCAAGAAATTTGAATTTTCTATTCACAGGAAGTCGTTAAATGTATTATTAGTGGTCTTATGAAATGCATCAGAAGATATAGATTGACAATACCTCCTGTATCGTCATTACCACTAAACCCCTGCCACGCAATAGTCCATCCGCCACATTGAAAACCTAAGTTATCAGCGTGGCTACCAGCGACCAAAATTTTAGACGCTTTCTTAGGAAGAGGTAGCAATGAGTCATTAGCAGTTTTCCCATTCTTCAGCAGTACGAGAGATTTCCGCACAGCTTCCCTTGCTAAGTTCCTGTGTTCCTGATCGCAAACCAGGGGTTATTACAACCACAAGAGCTGAATTTCACAATTCAAACATTTAAAAGGTATACCTCAAACTACGGACACATGCACTGAGTAAATGAGGCCTGAAATGTAAAGTATCACGCCTACCTGGCTCCCGACCTCTTTGATAAGGCTGAAATCAGTGTAGGGGTTCTCAAAAAGTCCCATGGTAAATTTAACTAACAAAATCCTCTCCACTGCATCATCAATACGAGCCATTGGGATAAAATTGTTCTTGACAAGGTAAGTGAGATCATTGATAAACTCGGTGAAATTATATGGGACCATAACCTGCAAATGACCAATTTGAAAATATTCCTGATTTAGATTGAACCCTTAAAATTTCTCAAACACAATACAGCTGAATATTAATTTACTCCAGCTCTCGAAGTACTAATAGCAGTTTTCAGAATTTAGCTGAATGTTGCCACTAAAAAGATCTTACCATGTCTATTCCAGCTAGAATGCTACTCTCAACTGAATAAGTGTAGTTGGCATGAGGTGGAGAGGTAATCCTGTCAATACCTTCCCAATCTGAAATGACAAAACCCTGGTAGATTATCAACACCAATCAGTAATATCACCTTCAAATGGTGCAACTATAGGTGATACAACATAGTAGGCATGAGCAAACACATTAAATATCAAAACTATATTTTGGAGGATGTTAGTTCCACATTTCTGTACTTCCAATGTGAAAAATAACTAGCCGCCTCCATTCCATATTTTTCAGACGAAGGGTCTACAAGCTTCCGAATTGACCACTGAGGTTTATTTAATTTCATGTCATTTTTAGAACATTACCTTGAACTTGAGTGTACCCTTGAGAAAAGTGGTAACTAGTTCATGGTTTGCATGCATCTTTTGGCCATTCCAGCTAGAATAAGAAGCCATTACTGTAGCAACACCTTTGATAATTGAGTCGTCGTAGGCGGGCATGTGGATACTTAGTAACTCATGCATGTTAGTCACGGTGTTATTCTCATTAATACCCTTAGTTGTGCCCCCATCGCCAACAAAGTGCTTTGCACAAGCAGCCACCTTATTCCTGAAAATCAGGAGAGTTGGTGGATTATTACTCAAGGGCAATCCTTTCACAGGCAGATAAATTCATAGGAACTTAGAATTTAATTACCCAGGAACCAATACCAAAATGTAAGTATAAGATCTTAACTGATTCACAAAAGGCTCGTCAAATAATTGAGAATAACTACAAAAATAGGCTTACTAAAATGGAAAACAACATTAGTACAAAGCATCTTATATTGGACCTCATTGCACCCTAGTGAGAACAAGCAAACTAAATAGCAGTCAAGGTTCCCATTAACTTAGGTTGGACAATTCTTTGCAGAATGATGAGGAAATTGGCCGTATATATAAGTTCTAACTTTCAAAGAGCAGAATATAAAACAATACGTATGGCATTGCCTTCAAAGTTTCCATACTTTCCAGCAACATAAGGTATGCCCTTCCTCGATTCATTAGGAATTTCGCCTTGTAACCCAATTATAATATCTGTCATTTCTTGAACAATCTTGGGATCTTCACTATAACTTTCATAACAGCGGCCCCACCTAGGATCTCTGCAAACCTGCCCACAGAGGTTTAAAGAAAAACTTGAAAGTTTAAAATATGAAATAAAAAAGAATGCCACTAATTGTGACAAGATAAATTAGAAATATGATGGTATCACCTACAGCGATGCAAGGAGCAAATGCATAAGGAATCCCTGTAGCTCTGACTTCAAGAGCAGTAGCAGCACCAATCCTTCGCATGAGTTCAGGGTCCCTGAAGAATAGATATTCGGCAGAATGTTCAGATAAGACCAACATCTTTTTTTTAGAAAGCAAAAGGATAAGGCCAACATCATGTCACCTTGAACTGGGAAACATTTCCAAAAATGCAAAAATGATCGTAGATGATATCAGAAAAAGCTTTTGAACATACAATACATTCATAGTTCCAAGATACAATTTACATATGAGACACAGTTACTGGGCTTAAGTTATATGAATTGCGATATATCTTGAAAAGTGATGCCATTTAGCAGAACTGTCTATTAACGGCCAATAAATGGCTGATCCCAATGTTATTTTCCCAAATGAAATTATTAAACTTTTTCAAGAAAAGAGAAATGAAGCTTGAAATTATAACTTTGATCTGTCAACACTCAACAAAGAATGTTGTACTTAAAGAAAGCATACATGTAAAATATCATTACCTAGCAGCTCCAAGCCCAACATTATGTGGAAATATGGTGGCATTGAAAACATTGTTGTGTCCATGAATGGCATCAATCCCATATATCATAGGAATCCCAAGGCGAGTTGACATAGAACCATTTTGGTAGTCATTCACCATATTAACCCAATCTGCAGCAGTAGCTTTCGGAAGTGGCTCACTTCCCCCACCACTTAATACACTCCCTAAATTAGAATAACCGAACAAAAATTTCAATTATCTGTATGTCGTACCCACATGATATGTTAAGCAAAAGTGGGAGAGCCTTTGATTGGGATTTGACCCCCTACATCTAAATGTTTAAACACAGGTAAATATAATCCATCTTTCATCTCAAAAAAGGTAAATATAATCCAGTCTATTTCCTAGTTTATTTTGACAATGGGTTATTTAGAAGATGTTAGTAATTACTTGGTTCTTAAAAGATATTCCTGGAGTTCATGCTTTGTTGTTAATTACTGCTTCATAACATCAGAATCTGAATATAAGTAAACAATTGTAAAATAAATGTTGTTTGCAGTTGATTTGCACATATAATCATTTTTCCGATCACTGGTTTTGCACTTAATAATCATTTCTTTCAGTTCCATAGTTTCATTTTTCAAAAGGTCCTAATCATTAATCAATAAAAGCCAAGACTGAGGTATAACAAAAAGATGTTGAAAACATGCTTCCAAACTCCATCGACAGCCTTTAGCGTACTCTGGATAATTCAAATTTCAATGAAGAAACTGAATCAGTGAAAACTGAAAAGGATCTAACTTTAGCTCAATTTCCCTTATTGCTCTATTCATTTCAGCTCTTTCTACTTAATTCTTATTCCATCAATTTTGCAGTTCCTGATCTTGTAGCTGAATTGTCAAAAAATGCTGGAGTAACCATGTATACTCACAACTATTAAGCTGGAATTATCAAATCTCCGACTATTAAACTGAATCTCAAAGAAAGTAACTGCTAGTAACTTATCATCATCAAGAGATGCAAAGAAAAGCAAAAAAACTAGAAAAATATGTAAAGTATACAATTATATGGATGTGAAATGTTCCTTATCCAAAATACGGATGTGAAATTATACTAATGTATTTCATAAGGATTAAACTCAAATTCTCATAAGAATCTAATTCAACCTGACATTATCAAATATATAAGAAAAGTAACACACAGCATCTACAAAGAAAAAAAAATGCAAATGATACTACTACTACTATATACTTCAAGCTCTCAAAACAATCTTCGACAATATTTAGAATCTCCAGAAACTAACAGTACAAACCGGCTATACAACCAAAAATTAAATGCAAAAGAAACAAATATATAGCGGAAAGAAATATACAAACATGGAAATGATACTTACTCGTTCAATTTATGTTATACATTTTCCTTTCTACTCTACTAAAAAAGAACGACACACCTCTAAATTTGGATACAATTAACTTTGCACTTACTATTTTACCCCCTTAATGAGAATCTTTCGGGGCGACAAGACTTTACTTTATAGCGACGCAAATGTTATGACATGTTTAAGGCACAAGTTTCAAAAGTTATGTCATGTTTAAAAGCGCAAGTTTCAAAAGTTTTAAAACTATGTGCAAATTCAAACTATGTCACATAAATAGGTACGGGAGTAATGCGACAGAGATTTGAAAAGTTACCAATATAGTAATCTTTCATGATTTTGATTGTAGCACTAGACCTATCAATCTGAGTCATCTGACCAATCTTTTCTGCAAGAGTCATTCTACCGAGAAGATCTTTTACTCTAACCTCAACTGGTTGTTTTGGGTCCTTGTACTTCATGTGCTTTTTAGCCATTGCAATCTTGCTCCAACATAGCAGCAGAGTCACAACCCACAAAATCCAGCTTTTCTTACCCATTTTTAACCTCCTCAGCACTGTAATAACATACAGAGGAATGTGGTCTTTTTAAGATAAAGCTTGGATTTTGATTGAATACCCAGAAAAATGTAAGGTAAAGGGTGCAAGAAAATGCAGAATTTGAAGGTTGGAGGGGAAAGTATAGGTGGGGAAGTAGCAGAGGTAGTGCTTATTTTATTGTAAAGGAGGGTCTGGTAAGTAAGCTGAAACTTGAGATATTCTTTGTACTCCAAATATTTTGCTACTCTTGCACTTCGCCCGTTTAATTCTCATTTATTATTAGTTGAGGCTAATTATGTGAAAATTTTAGTACGTCAATTATTTAAGGGATAAATTAATTTGTAATGAAAGAATTGTTTTATTGTGATGCAAGTATGAATAAATTATTATACATAAATTGTTTATTTAACAAAAGTATTTTGTCTTAAAATTATTCAATTCCAATATTGCTAATGCCATATAATATTTTTATATTTTATCTCGCATAAAAAATAATAAATTATCATACAACTTAATGTTCAGTATTAGTATTTCAATGGAGTGGACCAACTGACCCCTAATATTGTTCTTTAGCTTTTGTATTTCTTTTTTTTGGTTAAATCTCACATTTCTTTTCTAAATAAAGATGTGAGGTTTTCGAGAAAGTTTCGTGTGGGAACTAAAACGTTTGTACGGACTAGCTTGTGGTAGCTCATTGAGATTTGAACCAAATGCATGTTCTTTGTTAAAGAAAAAGTTTTTATCCGATCCACTTAAAATTAATTTTTTAGTTTTTTTTTGATGATTCATAATATTTGATTTTTTAAAAAATATTAAGAAGGAATTAATATATTTTTTTTTAAAATTACCCTTGGAGTAAAGAGTCTAAAAGTATTTATTATATTTTCAATGAATAAATTACGATTAATATATCAATTCCATTATTATTCAATACTAAAATATTAATTCTTTAATATATGTAAAAAAAAGCCAAAAAAAAATTAATTAAAGTGGACTAAGGAATGATCCAAAAAAAAAAAGTAACATAAGGTAGAACAAGACTATAAAAGTTACAAATAGTCACATGCCTCTAACATGAGGATTATTCAAAAGTCAAAATATTCATAATCTTGCAAGAAAATCAAGAGATTACGCATAGATCACAAAAATAATAGAACAATACTCGCATGTGTCAAGAAACCAATGTATTATAAATTATAAAGTTATAGGAGAAACTGTTTTTTTTTCTAAGTAATTTTCAGTTATAGAATTATAAAAAAATTGAAAAAACAATTTATATCTAACTAATAAAATTGTCCAAAACAAATGAAAAGTGAGGGGAAAAAAAGGAGGAAAATCATCATAAATATAGGAGTTGCAGTTGGTAACTGGCTAACTGCAACTTAAACCGAAAGTGATATAAGAACTAAACTGAAACATTTACACACTTGAGGGACCAAAGTGGCCAGATCTTCATACTATTTATTTTGTTCCTCTGTTATTCATCAAGAATCAGAAATGGCGATCCGAAAATCCCAAAAGGGAGAGCCAAAACCAGGATCCCAACACTCATACTCATATATACAGCGGACAAACTGGTTAAAAGAAAATAATGAATCAACCTACTAAAAGAATTGAGTGTTATTATGATAATTACTAGATCCAGTACTAAAATCATATGTGATTCAACCTACTAAAAGAAGTACCTTGGATAGTTTTACTATAGTAGTGTTAGAACTCACGCGATGCACGAATAATTTGATAAAATATTAATCTTATAAAATTATGATCTAATATATCTTATTATTTTAATAAATATTAATTGTTATTTTATTATTTAAAATAGTGTACAAAAATATAACAAAATCTATATAAAATCAAAGGATACACATTATATAGTAATCAAATAAATTGTTTGTTCTTTATTTATTCTTTATTATTATTAAATTAGCAAGTATTCAGTACTATACATTTATTAATATGACTTTTTATTAACTTTACAATTGGCTTAATATTTTGATGATACTTCTCTATTAATATAATATAGATATATATTTTCTTACTATGAAAATATTTTTATTTTTTTAAACTTATGTTATACCGTTCAAAATTCTTCAATTGTCTAAATTTATCAATAAATTTCTTGAGTATTATTTATTTATTAATAAATTAAAAATACAAATATTATAAAATTATCTTTATCCCCTTTTTTTCGTACACTCTTTTCTATTATAATATTTTATTATTTTTCTCATTTTGTTTTTATTGAAATTTTAAATAATGTAATATTTTTTATTAAATTATTATTTTGAATTCATCAAAAGTATTAAGAGATAAGCCTTTTATAATTTTTTATAAAAGTCCCACCAATATTTTTAGTAATTATTAATTTGTGTTATATATATAATATAATTATCCTATGTTTAATATCCTAATAGTATCTTTATATTTTTGTATTTTCCATTATGAAATTATGAGTTCTATTTATTAACTAAATTTCCTACATGAGAAATTTAATTATTATATATATTTTTACGATATCGCTTGAAATTTGTTTTTGTTTAGTATATTTCCGTTATAACTATTTGCTTATTATGATTTTAGTTATGTGTATATGTATGACTTTTCTCATCATAATTCTAATTATAAGTC